GCTTCAGGAAGAGCTCCCAACTCCTCAGACACCAGCACATCCACACTGGGGAACGGCCCTACACATGTAGGGAATGTGGGAAGAGCTTCAGGTACAGCTCCAACTTGCTCCAACACCAGCGCATCCACACTGGGGAACGGCCCTACATGTGTTGGGAATGTGGGAAGAGCTTCAGGTGCAGCTCCAAACTCCTCAGCCACCAGCACATCCACACTGGGGAACGGCCCTACACGTGTGGGGAATGTGGGAAGAGCTTCGGGGACAACTCCAACCTGATCACACACCAGCGCATCCACACTGGGGAACGACCCTACACATGTAGGGAATGTGGGAAGAGCTTCAGGGAGAGCTCCAAGCTCCGCAACCACCAGAACATCCACACTGGGGAACGGCCCTACAAGTGCTTGGAATGTGGGAAGAGCTTCAGGGACAGTTCTACCCTGATCCGACACCAGCTCATCCACACTGGGGAACGGCCCTACAAGTGCTTGCAATGTGGGAAGAGGTTTCAGACCAGCTCACTTCTCCTTGTCCATGAGCGGATACACACAGAGGAGAGGCCCTTCCGCTGCACTGACTGCGGGAAGGGCTTCAAACACAACTCCACCCTCGTCACACACCGGCGCATCCACACCGGGGAGAGGCCCTACAAGTGTGGGGAATGTGGGAAGAGCTTCAGATGCAGCTCCAAACTCCTCAGCCACCAGCACATCCACACTGGGGAACGGCCCTACACGTGTGGGGAATGTGGGAAGAGCTTCGGGGACAACTCCACTCTGATCCGACACCAGCGCATCCACACTGGGGAGAGGCCCTACGAGTGTGGGGAGTGTGGGAAGAATTTCAGCCAGAGCTTCCACTTGACCAAACACCAACAGACCCACAAGTAAGAGAAGCCCCTCAAGTGCCCCGACTGCAGGAAGAGCTTCGGCCGCTGCTCCCACCCCAAATGACCCCCCTGAGGGTGAGGCAACCCCTGGAGTCCAGTGACTGTCAGTCCATCCCTTTCTACCAGAAAGGGCCAGTCCCCTTTGCCAGGGGCAGGTTGTGCCAACAGAACCCTTCTTGGGGGGTGTGTGGAGATTCCTGCCTTGGCTGGGACCCCCCAAGGTCACTGCTGGAGGCTGAGAGCAGAAATCTCTCCATGAGTGTTGGTCTGGGGGAGTTCCATCCCTCTCTAATTCATAATTCTTGCTTTGGTGCCAACTTGAGTAGAATTGTTTCAACAATCACTTTAGTGTAGAGCACTGTCCTATCTTATGCTATCAAAAAATCAATAGATCTGATTTGCCATCATTGTAACCTGGGGGACAAAAGTGGTTCAGTCCCACCTCTGTAATTCCTCTAAACTGAAAGTGCTGGCACACAGTAACTTGGGAGCTCAGGGGGGCCAGCCCGCCTTTCCCAGCCCCCTGTGCCCAAAGACCCCCATGGGACCATCCGACCTACCAGACCACCCCTGCCCTTTTCCACCTTCCTCCCCATTCCCTCCAATTTTTCATGGTCCTTAATCCTCAGCCCTCCCAGATCAGTTTAGGGATCCCAACCCCCACATTTTGGCCCCTCTCTCCCCCTTTTCCACATCATCCCCCCCCTCCCCAGCCCCCTTATGCTCAGTTTGGGGGTTCCTCCCTGCCCTTTCCCCACTCTTCTGACCTCTCCCACCCATTTCCCATGAACCTCA